GGCTCAGTCGGTTAAGCGTCTGCCTTCGGCTTCCAGTCATGATCTCCGGGTCCCGGGATCGAGCCCCACATTGGGCTCCCTGCTCAGGGGGTCGCTGCTTCTCCCCTCTCCCTCTACTGCTCCCCCTGCTCATGCTCTCTATCTCAAATAAATAAATAAAATCTTAAAAACAAAAACAAAAACAAAACAATCGAGTCTTGATATAGTACATCCAAGGTGGAGACTCTGCCCCATCGACACTGAGATTCTCAGCTCCCAGCAAGACCTGCTACAGCAGGCCTGCCTTGCGATCTGGTATATTCTTATGAGTACCCACATCCCTGGGCATGATTATGGCATTGCATTTAATAAATAGTAATAGTGGTTCTTGCTATATTTACCTGGAACAGAGTTGAGTTATAGGAAATGATTTCAGTTCTTCCCAAACAGAACCAAGAGCACATTTGTGAGCAAAATAAAATCCATTGTGAAGGGGGTTTGTGGTTTTTTTAAATTTCTTTTCATAAACTAAAGCTCATTTTCCTAGAAACACATCTAACATACTGCAAAATAAATACTAAATGAGAATAAAGTATCACTGTATATGAAAGTATTAGGAGCAGAAAGACTAAATTCATAGTCTTTAAACAATCTTTAAAATTCTGTTATGTGTTTTCAGCCCCAAATCAGTTAGTCTTATTCCACAGAATCCTGCCTCTTCATCCATGGTTTTTTTCTTGAGCCAACTAGCTAGCCAGTGGAGTATACCAACTATTGTGTGTAATTTATTAATTTGCAATTGAAAATCTGAGGTTAATTCCAGCATAAATATTCATGCAGGTTTTTTTTACTCTTTTAACCAGGGACCACATTTAGCTATTTACATGTTTTACTATAATTTGGCATTGATAGTACCTTCTGGAAAATAGCCTCTATCAGATTTGTTCCCTCTGTGATTAATATGATCTCTTTAAAATTGTTTTACATGTTTTTCTTTAGATTATACAGGGAATCAAATGATACACTTGCTCATAGGGACTGAGGGGCAAATCTTTTAATTCACTTGGTTAGGGGATTTCCCCACCCATACTAGATCTTGACCCCAGCTTCTACTAAGCAAAGGAAGGCCTTGACTGAAATGCAAAGGGGAACAGGAGAGTTAATGCCCACAGGCCTGAGTCCATGAACATTTTTAAGGGTCATATGGCTACACGTGGTTTTTGCCTCCAGAACTTCCCTGGGTGTAAGACATGATGCCACTGCATAAGGAAAATTCAACTTTTGATATACTCTGGTGCTAAGTAGCTGCAGTTCCGAAAATGGGCAAGACATTCATGAAAATCCAAATTTATAGCACAAATTCAGACTCTTAACTCGTAAGATGAGGACTCTAAGTGTCGTAAATTCCACCCCACACTTTGGATGTCGTCCTTTAAAATTGAACTACCTCAGTAAACAATAGAATCTGTCAGTGTATTAGCGATCTGTCTTTGCTTGAAGAGCCGAGAGTGATGCTGTCAAAGTCTGGTTTGTAAAATGATGTTCATTTGGAATAGTGTGGTTTCTATCACAGGTATCCTTAGTAAGCAGAGAGAGCTCATTTAAACTAGCACTAGTAAACAAAAAGAGATTCAATGATACAATTGGAGTTTTAACCTGTTTTTAAATATACGTGCAGATTATAGCTCATTACATGGTGGTAATGCACGGTGATTTTATTTGTAAAATGGAGGAAATCTGAAGGTTTCATAGTGAAAATCTGAGATTCGTTTTCTCTGTGTTTCAGAAAATAAAGCGACCCTCTTTTTGTTTTTAAGGAATTAGCTTGTTGCTTTGTGGCACCTTGTAGACAGAGCATTAGCGCTGCGCTAGGAGGAGCTAAGAAATCTGCGTAAGAGAAAGGGCCTGGAGAGCAGGAAGGGGGCAAATATGAGTCACCTTTGCTCTTGCTGCTATTGCTGCAAGTCCTAAAACCGACTCCTCTGTAAGAGGCTCATAACTGGGCGAGTTCATGTTCATTGATCTGGTAAGAACACTTCAAAACGACAGTATTTGTCCGTTGGTAGAAAGTGGGCCAGGAAGTACTGACACTTTCTGCATTAGGAGAGCGTCTCAGAAATCAAGACACTCTACGATCCCATAGGGAGTCTCCTGGCTCCACAGAAACCTCCCAATATTTAGTTTTAGGAGTCGCAGCAAATGCTAGAAACACCAACTGCCTCTCTTGTCTCCTAAATTCTGCCGTAAGGCCCTCATAAAATGCTGTCCTGACCCCTCCCCAACCCTGCTCACCCCTCACCCGCCAAATGCTGCTTAGTGCCCTGAACCTCTCTTGTAGCATTTATCGCTTTGTACTTTATATAATAGATATTTGTGTCTATGTCTCATCTAGGGAGCCCGACCTGAAACTCCTTGCGGATGGAGTTACACACACAGTAAATACGTCTGGACTCAGTCAGTTCAGTGCTCCCCAAGCGGTCTGCTCCTTGAGTGAGCATGAGTGCTGCCCCAGGAGGACTGGCACGCTGAGCCACCGCATGGCAGACTCTCAAACACGCTTCCTTTACATTGGGCCAAAGGGTCTCTAAATCAATATTATCTTTGAATGAATGAATTTTGAACAAATTCTTACATAGTGTTTTGCTTATTCTGACAAATACCTATTGGGCAGTGACTGGGCATTTGGCTGTCTGAGTACAAAAGAGCGCATATTCTCACGAGAAACACAAACTCCCAACCAAATAAATGCAGTGCGGAAAGTGCTGCAAGTATAGTCGGTAGAAAAGACTGAGTCTGTGAAGAAAGGAGGGGCTCATTTTTGCCTGATGGCTAGATGAGGTCCGTAGTCCTCCAACCAGGGTCAAGTCCTCCAGGGTGGGTCCTGGGCAGGTTCTGGGAGTCTCGGGTCAGGTGGCTGAGTCTGAAGCACCTGGTTGATGGTACCAGAATTCAGCAGGGTTATGTGAACGAGAGCAGTTGGCGTCTTCCCCTTTTGACTCCTGAACATTTAAAAGCTTCTATACCCCCTTAGCCCCTCATACAGCTACAAGCAGCTGCTTCTGTAAGTTGAGATTCCTTTTTTAATGGCTTTTTAAGTGATATAGGAACACTTATCAAAAATCTGAGATCAAAAGATTTAGAATAAGGTCTGAATGCAGCCATTGATATGCATAGCAAAATTCTGGTTATGAATGAAACTTCATCTTAGATGATGATGGTAAAATTCTCTCCATCTAATATTTCCACATCAAATCATTCAACAAATATGCATTGAGCACCCCATGTGGGACAGGAGACGAGGGCACAGCCTCTGGCTCCCAGCAACACCCCCACACACCCTTTACCAGCAGCATGACCCAAAACTCAGCAACCAATCGGACAGCACTCTTCGGAGAGCGATGTTTACCAAGCATCCAGGGACCGAAAGTTGAAAGGTAAAGTGAAGCAGAGAAATGTGATGACTTTGTGGATAATCCAAGTCGAGAATAGCATTTGGCAAGGGCAGGGCCCAAACTTCCTGCGTCATCTGATCATTTCCGCCCTCTTTACTCTGACCACAGTGTGCTAGAAGCACTAGGACAAACGAAAGTAATAATTCCTATTCTCCAGGAGAAAAACTAATCCCAGATCCTCTTTTCTAATATGGTTTTAAAAATCTAAAGTAGCACCGGGTTTGCAAAGTGGTAAGTATGATTATCCAAGAATCAACTTTTATAACACATCTTACTTAAGTGAGATTTTCTTTTTTTCCTAATGAAAGTATACCGACTGCGTTTCTTCATATTAAAGTTACTATTTTAGAGTTACGTTATAATCAACAGTAAATGACTTAATAGTTTAGATTATGACTAATGAACTTCTATCTATTCAAGAATTTATTGAGTACTTACTATGTGCCAAGCCTGAGAGATACAAAGTCTGAGTTGCAGGCATCAGGAAGGGCCACAATCTAATAAATAATTATACGGTATAATAAATGCAGCCACATGAGTATGTCACGTTAAGAGCAGTGACAGAGTGCGTGGCCACCTCCACGGGAAGGAAGGAGTTCGCAAAAGCTTGGAAATGCAAGTGTTCACTGGGTTGCCGGAGGAAAAGACAAGCTAAGTGTCCATGGAGTGCTAACAGTCTATTATTACCGTCTGAGCTCATATTCTACTACGTAGAGTCCAAGTTGAAAGGTACCTTCCAGGTCTTCTGCTCCAGCCTCCCAGGCAGAAAATCCCTGATGGGGAAGCAGGGTGACGAGTGTGTTGGTTTTCGGGTGCTCTGGGACATGGCTTCAGATTCTCCTCCCCAAAATAGGGCCAAGAGGCAGAATTAAACTGCCTGGGGTTCCTGCTCATCCTTTCTGCTTATTTTATGCACTACAGTAGCACTGTGAACTACAGTAGCACTGTGCACTGCAGTAGCACTGTGAACACATACCTGAGCTCCACTGCACTACTTAGTTTCCGTAAGTTTTCACCGGAGGAAAAAAAAATGCAGTCCCACAGCTGAAAACCACAGGCAGAGTAAAAAGAGCCATGGGCCTCTGGGTAGCCCCATATTCGTGTGCTTAGGCAAATGAAGTGAAATTATTTCATGTACGAGAAAGTAATCTGTCAAGTGTAACGCACTGAGTACATTCAGATTATTTGTAAATCATTTTGTTATGATCTCTTTGGACCTTAGTTCCTTCACTTCAAAAAAAAAAAAAAATGAGGGTATTTTCACCCAGAAATCTCAAGTTCCCTGTAGCTCCACAGTTACCTGAGTTTGTGATGATCTGCCTTCTCTTGACGGTTTGTGAGACAAGAATGCATTTGCAGCGTGCTTTGCTTTTGAAGAGACTTAATGCTGGAATTAGAGCGTCTTATTTTGTAAGAACCAGTCACTGGTTTTATAAATTGCAAATACTGGCGCGCAAAGCCGAAACCACATCGTTTGTAGGGTATGGACATTGCAGTAGCTAGTGATATGCCCAAAAGTCAAATGCTTCAGATGTTGCTTTTAATGAAATATTTATGTTCTTTTGGTAGCCAGAAGTGCAACTTGCTGAAGGCTTTGATGTGTTCATGCCTAAATCACAGCTGGACTCCATACTGTCAAACTATACTCGCTCAGGAAGCCTTCTGTTTAGAAAGCTGGTGTGTGCATTTTTTGATGACAAGACTTTGGCTAACTCCTTACCCAATGGGAAGAGGAAAAGAGGACTCAATGACAACCGAAAAGGACTAGACCAAAATATTGTGGGTGCAATAAAAGGTTGGTCTGCATCATTTCATTTTATGGGTTCTTTGTTGAGCTTTGCCTTCATTGCATAAAGATGCAGCTGAAACTGTGGTCACCTAACGAGAGGCTAATTGAATTTGCCCTTGGTAGTTTACCCACTGGTGTGGCTTTGGGGTATGAGCTCTGTAACTCAGCACCCCAAATATCACTAGAATTTGGTATTTCAAGGTGACGTTGGCTTGTTAAAATCATGATTTCAGAGCCAGTTTGTTCTGCGGAGCCAAAAAGTTTTTCCTTAATTGTCTCTTAAGAAAAAAAGTATCTTTCCTCTTAGTAATTTCTAACTAAGAACTTCAGCAAAATATGATCTTAAATTTTTAGTTGTCAATAAGAATAAAGCTATGATGCTTTTTGGAAAATAAAGGAAAACAGTTCTCTCCAAAGTTTGGAAGCTGCTGTACATAGGTCATGGCTTCTAAAGACATTTTAAATGTCAGTGAGCCCACTGTGAAGCCAAACCCTACGCATCTCCACCCATTCCTGACCTGTTCTGCTCCCTCTGGTTCTGTGTGTGGAGTCATGCGAAGTACATGCAGAGAAGGCCGTGAGTCTCTCCCACTCAGCACTGTGAACACATACCCGAGCTCCGCTGCCCTGCGGTAGCACTGTGAACACATACCCGAGCTCCACTGCACTACGGTAGCACTGTGAACACATACCTGAGCTCCACTGCACTACGGTAGCACTGTGAACACATACCCGAGCTCCACTGCACTACGGTAGCACTGTGAACACATACCCGAGCTCCACTGCACTACGGTAGCACTGTGAACACATACCCGAGCTCCGCTGCCCTGCAGTAGCAC